AAAGAAAGAAAACACCTAACCAATTTACCTTTACAGAAAGAGGATATCACTAGCTTAGTTATACATAGTACCTACTGTGGCACACTAATTCAATCCTCGCCACCACCCGATGAGGTACTTCCAATCCTCTGAAGTAGGCAGCAGTATTACCCCACCTTAAAGATGATGAAACAGAGGCTAGAGAAGTAGCTTAAGGTAATGCAGCCTGGACTAAAACTATGGACTTCTGGCTCTTAGCCAACAAGGTGCTGCTGCTTGGACAAGGGAGAATGGAGTCTTACCCAAGTCCAACTCCCTCCTAAGAGAAGAGAGGGGGGAATCAATAATAGACAAGATCCTTCCTTGCTCCTTCATGCAGACTTTTCTTTGGACCTGCCTTTTGCCTCCATATTTGTTCCCCATTTCTCTGCCTCCACAGGACACATGACTAAGAGTCCACTAGACACAGAGCAGCTGTAAAAATTGCTTCTTGTTTTCACCCTCAGAGAGGAAGCCTGAACCATGTATGTGGATCTAACGACAGGAAGCTCTGAAAGGGAAGGTTTTTCACCATAGTCTAGAGCTCATGCATCTCATCAGAAGTACCTGAATCTAAATACTACGGGGTCTAGGCCAGGTGACTCTAGGAGCCCATCCATCAATTCCTACACATCACAGATGAGAAAGGGGGATTCAGAGCAAACTGACTTGGTCCTGCACCAGTCTCCTCAGTAGAGGTAAAATCTAGGTCTTTGGAATTATGGCTCAACACAAATTCTGGTGAGTTACACTGACTGACCTCTTTTGCTGGCATAGTCCTTCATTACAGAAAATATCATCTTCCTAGGATCTTCTGCCACATATCTTCAAGGAGGCACACAGAACAAAAGAAAGCCAGCCTTTCCCATCACAAGGAGCAGTAGGCAAAGCCTTCCCCTGCCATCTGGCCTGACATGCATGGCAACCAGGGTTCTAAAAAGCTACTACAGAGTAACAGATGTGAGAGAGAAAAGGGGAGCACCCAGGCAGCAGCCAACAGCAGGAAAAGAATTCAGCTGAAGGAAGGAGGAGAGAAGAAAAACAAATACAAAATCAACCCTTTAGGCCCAAACCAGCATCCCTTGCACAGCCCACAAGGGTGAGAAAAGGGGAAACATGCAAAACCCAGGGCAAGTAGTTGAGCCAAACCTAAGATCCACAAAGTCAGCAAAAGCAAACAAGTTGGTCTCCCTACCTCCGAAGTCAAAGAAAGGATAGCAGGAGGCACAAGCATTTATTGACACCTCTTTCACAACAGGCCTTCTCATTGATACACCAAGGCAATACGAAAACCTTCACATTTACCCTTTGAAACAACATCCTTCCCTTTTAACAAATGCAGAAGCTTAAGGCCCAAGGAACTGTATTTCTACACCCACTGACTACATACCGCACTGATAACACGCAAAAAGAGGGCTCCACTTTGAAATTGTGGGCTGAAATTAAAAACACAAATATCCTTGAACTGTCTTTCACAGCAAAAATTTGAGGGCAGCTATGACGTTAATCAGAATGAGGATAGTAAGAGGAATCAAGTACAAATGTATACTGACTCACTGAATAGTTAATAGAGAAGGGTTCTTAGAAAAATGGGGAGGAAAGTTAAGAATAAAACTGTACCTACAGTATGCATGCTAATTTTCAAGAAGGAAACCTGCTCTTTTGGCACCAGCCCCTCAAATATCACATGGCATCCCTTCAAGGGCATTGGGCAGTAGGTGGGCCAAGGCCCACAGATCTAGGGACATCTTAGACACACATCATTTGAGTGCTTGTGACCAATACTCAAGCCAGTGTCACCTAGAAGGGGCCATCTCAGGCCTGCCGACCAGTTTCCTGAGTAAGAAAATTCCTCTTACAACAGAATACTCAACAGCTGCTGACCTTGGATTAACATCCAAGCAGACCAGGGGGTGAGAATTTGGAAAGGGTGGCACTGGCCCCACAGAACAAAAAGGTGAATCACCAGAGTCACAGAGTGAGCGAGCAAGGCAAAGACAAGAGAAAAGCAGAGCAGACTTTCAGAGCAGGCACATCACTGCCATCCCCACCACCACCCAAGTCCTCTGTGAGCACCCTCAGCACTCATGGTTTCAAAGAACTTTGCCAGCCCAAAGTGGGTCAGGCACTGAAACCCAAAGGGAAACTCAGCAGACCCCGGCTCCCATGTAGTCAACCTGAAGATAATGCTGACTCTCCAGGGCGGGGGGGATAGGTGGCTTCAGAAACCTGCCCCACAATACTTGGAATCCCAGTTACCCTGAGCCATCTGCTTTCTGAAAAGAATAGGGTTTGACGGTGGCTGTGAAAGCCACCAAACTATGTGGGGCACTGCTTTGCCTTCCCCAACAAGTGTGTCAGCCTCAACTCTGGGACTTGTGGGCAATCCAGCAGTGGGACAGGAGAGCGGTTTATCATGCCATGAACTAATACAGCAGTGACTTAGTTCTTTGGCCAACCCAGTAAGAAATCCATCTTATATCATAACATAGCACACCCACATATGTAAAATACATATATATAGATACACACACACACACACAGATATACATGTGTATGTATATATATAAAACAAAAAAAATTGTTGTTTCTGAAACGAAACAATACTTACCTTTCTTCATGTTTTGATTGCACTCTGGCATTCCCCATGCTATTTTCTTAATGTTTGTTAGAACCCGGTAAATGGATTTCACATCTCGAGGGTGAGTCAGTACATGCAATATTGAATAATCCCAGCTCTGCCACTTATCAGCTGTGTGACCTAGATCAAGTTACTTAACCTCTCTGTGCCTCAGTTGTCTGTAAAGAGGGGATTATGGCAATATCGACTTTAGTGAGTTGTTCAGTAGATTGAGCAACTATTTGAAAAGTACCTATAGGTCAGGTATGGTGGCTCACACCTGTAATCCTAGCACTCTGGGAGGCCAAGGCAGGTAGACTACTTGAGCTCAGGAGTTCAAGACCAGCCTAAGCAAGAGCAAGACCCCATCTCTACTAAAAATACAAAAACGAGCTGGGGGTTGTGGCAGGCACCTATAGTCCCAGCTACTCAAGAGGCTGAAGGAATTGCTTGAGCCCAAGAGTTTGAGGTTGCTGTGAGCTATGCCATGGCACTCTACCCAGGTCAACAGAATGAGACTGTCTCAAAATAAATAAATAAAATTAAAAAGAAATAAAACAACCTATAAAGTGCTTCATAGTAATTTCTTCTAAATTCCCATTGAGGGAAAGTGAGGCTCTGAAAGGATAAGCAATTTGCCCAACATTTCCCTGCAGGTAAAAT